TGCTTGTGAGAGGTGACACTACTCCCCTCTCCTCTACCTAGGAAATTCAAAGTTGCTCTTCCTCATTATAAAAGCCAGCCCAGTCGGGGAGCTGCTTTCTCTGAGAGACAACACACTAGAGGAATGGGTTTTATATTCCCCAGAAGCACTCGGGAAAGACAACACCTTTTGGTAAGAAACAGACCAAGGTATTAATGGCATCACGGGACATCTACTGTCTTTTAAACTGCAGGGGGACTTAAAGTGAGGATTGTCATAGCCGTAGAAAGACAGTAATGGCAGAGGCAAAATAAACCAGAAAGTATGCCAGGCAGTGGTGGCACACACCTTTAATCCCAACACTTGGGAGGCAGAGGCAGGAGGATCTCTGTGAGTTAGAGACCAACCTGGTCTACAGAGTGAGTGCTAGGACAGGCTCCAAAACTACACAGAGAATCCCTGTCTCAAAAAATCAACCAACCAACCAACCAAACAAACAACAAAAAACCCAGAAAGTAGCCACGATGAACAGAGGAGGAACGAGATCTTTGCGCCTAGAATAAGGTACGGGATCTCCAGTTGGACACTGCTCTCTAGAAGCACACAAGCACCCTAGTCAGCACTGTGCTTACAAAGGAAACAGAACCATGAGTTGCAGGCAGTCATAACTGCTGCCGGAGCAGAGAAACATGGATGCTTCCTGAGCACTGCAAGGATGGAAGGCAGTTGGACCACCAGCAAGACTGACTGGTAGGGGTCAGTCTACAAGGGGCCTCAGAAGCGCATCTGGGAGTTCTGTGACTTTGTTCTGAGACAGTGGGAGCCACTGCAAGTTTTAGGAAGGGCTTTTGTTTGTTCCCATGATTTCAAAACAACTGAAGCACATTCAGGGACGTAAATGACACACACATAAACGAAGCCAACAAGCAGCACTGCCTTGCTTCAATAGGTGTCAACATCTTGTCACCAAAGGGCTTTGGACAGAGGAGTGACATGATGACAGTTGCATTTGAGGACACCTAGCTATTCTGGAGAGCATGATAAGGATGCTACAGAGCCGGGTGTCATTAGATTACAGCTGTCCGACATTCATTTGTTGGTTTGCTTATTCATTCATTTGCCCAATAAATATTTCCTGAGTTTTACTACATACATGCCACTGTTCTTGTTGCTACGGATTCAAAGTGTAAATACAGACTAAGGTTCCTGTTCCCTGGAGCTTTTGGCTTAGGAGGAGAAAGCAGACCAGCAAGCAAATGGAGTAAACTAGGAGGTTTCATAGAGCAATATGGAGACAGGACATTGGAGAGGAGGGGGTAGCCTGGGAGGATGATGCCTATGGTCCAGGACCGACGGGAAAGTCAGGGTGCCGAGAGCAGCACAGAGGGGGGAGCAGAGGGGCCTGGAGAGGCCGGGTGGGAGCAGGCAGTAGCAGATGGGAGCAGCCCACCGTAAAGGGACTTAGAAGGAAGAGCCAATAGGACTTGGTGGTGGATCCAAAGGGGGCAGGGAGATGCGTGGACTCAGGTGTGCTTGAATATATCTCAGTAGATGGGGGCGCCTTTCCTCACCATAAGGAAGAGGCTATAGGGGAGATTCAGACTCCCACAGGACTTCCTCTTAGTCCTTCAGAGTGAGGTGCTGGCAGAGAGGTCACTCTTACCTCTATCCCCAGTTCCCCAGTCAAGAAACCAACTGCCACGCAGCGTCTGGACCCGCTCCACAGGCAACTAAAGGTGAGCTCCAGCCCCAGAGGAAACAAGCAAGCCTCTACCTCTCATTACCTAGGGAGATCAGGACGCTTTTTTAACAGAGATTTTCTTTAATCTGTTTCTAGTGAAAATTGCATAAGATTGCTTTATTCCTGAAATGTCTTAGTCTTCCTCCTCCGCCTCCTTCACTCCCCACTCCCGTGTGTCCGTATGTATGGAAGCCAAAGGTCATCTTCAGACGTCATTCTTCAGTTGTTGTCCAACTTGTTTCTTACTTTTATATAGTCCTGGCTGTCCTAGGAACTCACTGTTTAGACCAGACTGGCCTCAAACCTGCAAAGATTTATCTGTCTCTGCCTCCCAAGTGCTGGGATTACAGATGTGCACCTGCACCACCATACCCACATGTTTCTGTTTAGTCAGGGGCTCTTCTCTTCTCTCTTTTGTTTGTTTGATTGTTTTGTTCAGACAGGGTTTCTCTTCATAGTCCTGGCTGTCCTAGAACTCCGGCTGTAGACCAGGTTGGCCTCAAACAGATCTCCCTGCTTCTGCCTTGGAAGTGCTGGGATTAAAGGCATGTGCCACCACCTGGCTTGAGTCAGGGTCTCTTATTAGCCTGGAGGTCACCAGCTATGCTATGCTGGCTGGCCAAGGAACCCCAGAGTGTCTGTATCCCCAGCACTGGGAATACAACCACTACATTTTAAATGTGGATTCTAGGCATCAAATTCAGTTCCTCATAATCTAGTGTCCAATCTTCTTCTTAGACAGGGTCTCAACACTGTAGGCCAGCCTAATGTGAAAATCACAGTCTAGCCCAGCTGCATTCAACTCATAATAGTCACCCCTCCATGTGTGTGATATGCATGCATCCATGTGGGTGTGTGTACACGTAAGTGACGGCACACATGCACGTTTGTATGTGTGGAGTTAGAGGTCAGCAGCTGATGTGAGGGGTCGCCTGGGGATTCTGGGAAAGAGTATCAGAAGCCATGTCACTTCACATTGCTTTTTTTTATGTGTATAAATGTTTTGTCTGCATGTATGTACATGTACTGCATGCACTGCATGTGTTCCTTGTTCCCATGGAATCCAGAAAAGGATGAAACTGGAGTTTGGAATGTTATATGCTGGGAGTCAAACCCAGGTCCTCCGTACAAGAGTCAAGTGCTCTCAATCGCCGAGCCGTCTCTCCAGCTCCTTTTTATTTTTTGAGACAGTCTCACACTGAACCTAAGTTCACCAGTTCAGCCACGCTGGATGGCCAGTGGGGTCCAGGTGTCTTCTTGTCTTTGTTTCTATAGAGCTGGGGCAACAGACACATGCAACTTTTCCAGGGTGCTGGGGATGCAAACACGTGTGCTCATGCTTGCACAGTCATCCATCACGCTCTCCCCCATATCTAAGATAAATATTTTTATTTGATGTGCATGGCATTTTGCCTGCATGTGTGTCTTGCTAGAAGAGGCCATCAAATCATTTGCAACTGGAGTAACAGACAGTTGAGCCACCACGTGGGTTCTGAGATCTAAATCCTGGTCTTTGCAGCTCCCTGCTTTGGGGTTTTGAGACAAGGTGTCACTACGTAGCCCAGGCTGGCCTGGACCTCTTTATTATCTTTGTCAGCCTTCTGGGTGCTGCAACTGTCAGCACCCAGATGACATCGTGCTATCTTTCCGTCTGTCCGTCCGTCCTGCCTGCCTCCCTTCCTTCTTAATTTTTTTATGTGCATTGATGCTTTGCCTGTATGTGTGTCTGTGTGAGGGGAGGGTGTTGGATCCCTTGGAATTGGAGTTACAGACAAGCCGTGAGCTGCCATGCGGGTGCTGGGAATTTAACCAGGATCCTTTGAAAGAGCAGCCTGTGCTCTTCACCGCTAAGCCATCTTTCCAGTCCCCATGCTGGACTTTTCATGCTGGCCTTTTTTTTTTTTTTAAGGACAGATTTTAAGAGGAAAGAGGTCCTCTGAAGTCATGTCAATGTCTCCTGCCATTCGTGACACTGCTCGTGTTGTTGTCCCATTATGTCAGGAGGACAAGAATGTCAAGAATTAAAGGAACAGGGGTTTGCTATGTGTAGGCCTGGCTGGAGAGAAGTCTAGAATCAGAATATGTTCTCATCTCATGCTGTGACTTGCATAGCAGACAGATTTATTACAGGAGGCAAAAAAAAAAAGTGTGGCCTGTGATGACAGCTGGGACAATAAGGAGACAGAGACCCCACAACACAACCCAAATGGGAGACCAGTGGCAAGGAGAGGCGCCCGCCGGTCCCAGGAGTCAGCTCTTGTGCTCTCCTTAGCCTGCTCCCCAGCTATTAGCAGTCCTTGCCACCGCACCTTGTTCTTGAAGGACATTTTTCTCAGCTGTCTATTTTGGTGTTTGTTGGGGGAGGGGGCATTTGGGGTCATTGTCTGCAAATGAATCCTAGACAGCAGGAGTCTGCTGCTTTTGCTTCTCTGCCTGTCATCTGTCACCCAGCCAGAGCAGCCTGCAGCTAGGCCTCAGACTGCCTAATGAAGACAGAGAGGTGGCCCTGGCTGTGCACAGGTGTCGCTTCCCCATTAATGGAGGTGACATTCCGAAGCACTCCTCATTACCGAGCAGACATTGGACAGGGCTGGGACACATATTGATGGCAGTAGGGCCAGCCAGCGTCTGTCTCAAATCCCATTGCCCCTGAGCAGCGAGCAAGAGAGACAGAAGCATCCTGAGTGTCAAATCCGCGGGTCCCTCTCTTTGCAGAGAAAAATGAATTCTCGACAGGCCTGACATTGAGGAACAATGCTACTACTTGCTTACCCAAAGGGTCCTTAGCTTCAGGCCCACTCAGTGCTGACCAGGTCTTATAGAATTCATGTAGAGGAGGTTTGCCCTACCCGGAAGGGCCAGTGGGGCCAGTGTGGGGCATGTCTGGTCCTCAACTTCAGGCTTCGATACAGAGGCTCTGATGACTTTCTTGGAGATGAAAATGGACCCATGTTGTAGCTAGGAGAGTAAGGTTGCAGAAAACTTACAGGTGGAGGGCTGTCAGGGACCAGGACCACATGGACAAGAACAGAAGCAGTGAAAACTGGACAGTTTCCTCTTGTTGGTTGCTTTGGAACAGGAGCGACCTGCCCATCCATCATCTTGGAAACACAGGAACTGAGTCTCGGAAGGACTTAAGTGCCATAAGAAGAGCCACTACATGCATGCACACACCCCTCCAAAGCCCGATTGCCACCCTCCCTTGTCCCAGCTTTGCGCACGCGCATTGGGCCGCCCCCGCACAGCTTGGTTTTAAACTCGTAGCAGACGGAACTCGACTTAAAAATAACTATTTTGACAGTTGCGATGTAAATATGTGAGTGACGCGTGGGGCTGTTTTTCCTTCGTGCTTCCCCCATCCCCCCGTGCCAATCCTAGCCCCGGCTCCGCTGAGGATGAGATGACAAGTCCGCCTCTTGCAGGATACGAGCAGCGCTGCAGCGGAAGGATTCCTTTTCAACATACCACACCGTGCCACCTTGCTGTTGGGGACAAATGTATTTATAAACTACGTCTTGTCTGTTACCTGGCAAACGAGGTCGTCTAGCTACTCCTGTGTTTTTGTTGTTGTTTTGAGATAGATCTTGCTAGTTACCACAGGCTGCCCTTGAATTCACAATCCCTCTGTGTCAGCCTCCCTGGTGCTGGCATTAGCCAGCATGCCCAGTTATCCGAACATCCCCATACATACCTAGTGTCTTCAGTTCAGTTCGACCTGTATCTACTGAGGCTCTCTTCTACCCCCAGCACTGTAGAATATGTGAGAGACATTTGGAATGCTTCCAACTGAGCATCTCAGTTACTGAATCTTGAACACCTACCTGCCCGGGGCCAGGTGCTAACCTGAGCATGCTACCTGATGATCCTCACAAAAGCTCAAGGGGCTGGTGTTGCTGTCTGCGTTCTACAGGAGGCAGCAGAGGTGTGGGACATGAAGTGACTTCAGAAGGCTGTCACGAAGAGCAGGACACTGAGGCTAGTCCTCACCAACCTTGTGAAGGGAAGAGAAGCAGTCACCCTCTCCAGAGGTGGGAAACAGGGGGACAACATCAAGGTCTGTCTATCTGGCCATCAGCGTTTCATCTAAGATAAAGCCAGGACCATCAAGGACACTTCGAGTATGCCAACCTGCTGTCATTCTCCCCTTCTTGTCACAGACAATAGAGGAAAGGGAGGGGAGAGTGTACGGTGTCCTTGAGAGTTCCAAAGGGCTCTTAACCATTATGCCACTTCCCCGGCCCTGCTCTCCGCTTCTTTGTCTCCTTCCTAGCAAAACCTGTCCCAGCAGTCACTAATGCTGGAGAATAAGTGTCCGTTAGCAACTCAGCATCCACCTCCCTCCTGGATCCTCACCCCAGGGGGTCAGAGCACTAATGAGATGCCAGGACTCAGACTTGGGAGGGGAGAGGAACTTGGGAACAATAGGACCCACTTGTGACATAAGAGGTTGTCACAGCACCTGATGGCAAGATCATGCTGGGTCTCGTATGGTCCTCCAGCCTCCGAGGCTCCGCTCATCCATCTCCTCTGAGAGGTCTTTCCCGGCTCTCAAGCTCAGAAACACTTTCTGTCATATTGGGAGTTCCTAAGGAGTAGGGGCACTGGCTGACTTCCTGTTTTTCCTGCAGCGGCTTCCACAGCGCTCCGCTCAGGGTCAGAACTCCATACTGACTTAATGGATTCAGTGGACAATATCACACATTTCCTCAGGGTAAAAGCTGAGGTGCAGATAGCAGAGGGCTGGGGCAGTCATGTAAGAACCAAAAGCACAGGGTGCAGTCCTGTCCCAGGCAGTCTAGGAACACTTCATGGATACTGGGTGCCAGGCATTAAGGAAACTGAGCCAGAAGAGAACCACCCTGGTCACGAACAGTCAGTACATTGCTGCCTACAAAAACTGCACATCACCTGGAACCCCCAGGATGGAAATTCAGGAAGCTTAACCAGGAGGATCAAATGTTTGAGGCCAGCCAGGGTAACAGAGTGAGTCCCCGGGCTAGCCTGGGCAATAGAGAAAGATCCTGTCTTTGAGACCTGAGTCAATCAATTCATCTGCAGCTGTTCCTTCCTTGCAGGAGACTGGCTTTGAGGTAAGGGCAGAGGGCTCAGGCTCTCTGTCCCTTCTCCGGACCCCATTTCCTCACAGTAGTAGAATCTCCGCACTGACCCCCTCAGTTTAAGGGGAGTCTCGATACAGTAATTCTTTTTTAGAGCTCTATTGATACACAACTCATGCCACCTGGTAACCTTTATTATGAATGTGCCTCCGCCCCACCTTCCTTGCAAGACTGACAATTGCCCATCCTGTCAATAGTTCCGAGAAGCCCAAGTAAAGATCTTTTTTTTTTTTTTTTTTTTTTTTTTTTTTGGTTTTTCGAGACAGGGTTTCTCTGTAATTTTGGAGGCTGTCCTGGAACTCACTTTGTAGACCAGGCTGGCCTCAAACTCACAGAGATCCGCCTGCCTCTGCCTCCCGAGTGCTGGGATTAAAGGCGTGCGCCACCAACACCCGGCTCAAGTAAAGATCTTTATTTTACATTGAAGTAGCTGTAAGCCACGATATCATGGTGCAACCTAAACCCCGGCCCCTTTGCCCACCCTTTCCAGCACTGGTCAGTTTGACGCACCGGTTCCCTGAGATTCTAGGAGGCAGGAGGCTGACTGTCCCTCGGTTTACAGATGGTACAAATGAGGCACATAGTACCAGGGCCCCAGGTATCCCCCAGTGCTCCCCGAGGCCTCATCACCTGTGTACACACTTCTGACTTTGCTGCCCAGATCCATTCTCCCTCCTTTCAGATCAGGGGAAACACGTTTGACTTCTGCTGCTGTGTATTAACAGTGTGAAATCAACACAGATGCCCCACATGCCTTGACAACATAATTCACTTGCTGCAAAGGGACGTAATAAAGTGTGTTTATTACAGCAATTATCAGAGCAGAATCTGCCAGCATGCTTTTCAGTGGTAACCAGAAAAGTGCTTACTCCAGATGCATAGATTTTGGAAACCGTGCAACTAGGGCCAAAATGAAACCAACGAGGCTTAGTAAATGGGTATCGGTCACACTAAGAAAAAGAACCACTCAGGAGTCAGCTCAACTGAAGCAGAGGTTAACAAGATTCAGATTTCTGCCTGCTGGGTTAAGATCTGGACCTGTTTCCAGGGTCAAGGTGTTGGGGACACACATAGAATGTACCCCATAACCCAGCCACCCCACATGCTGAGCTCACATCTCACTGATTGACATAGAAGCATATAGATGGAGACCATTAGCACCAATGATTCTCAGGGATTCCCTGCCACTGTGGTGGAATTTGGGACACAGGAAGACAATTAAAGACCGGGCCTTGGAGGAGAGGCAGAAGGAACAGCTAAGAAAACCTTTCACTAAGTGCTTGCGGTTAAGAGCATCATTGCGCTACAGGCTGGAGGCACAGCTCAGCTGGAGAACATTTGTCTAGTGGACCTGAGGTCTTGGGCTTCATCTCCAGCACCTTGCAAGGGAATGGAGGTGGAACCTCAATTTCCTAAAGGGACTATGACTAAATTAAAGGGAGTCTTCTTTCTAGCTCGGGGATACACGCTGTCTTGCTTTGGGTAGGATGACTAGACAAAGCCATAAATGCATTCGTCCTAGCTCTTTGGTAGAGGGACAGAAGAGAAGTCATTTAAATTCCACAGCAACATCAAGTTATCTGACTGCTGTAACCAGTCAAGCAGAGTTCTTTATGTACTGCATATGCCAACAGGACATTCCTCAGAACACTGGGTGTCCCCAATACAGGCAGCAGTGCATGCCTTGGTCACAGAGAGCCTGATGGTGATTACCCAGGTGGAGCATAGCTCTGACCTCTCAGGAAACACAAAACCGGTTGTTTAAGCCAGCAAACCAAATTTTGGTTAGGGGATGACTTAAATGTGCCCCCCGTTCCCCAGCATCCCTTCCCCTCCTCGGGCCTCTGTGAGAAGGTGCTATGCTTAGGGGTGAGGGCAGAAGGCAGCTGGGCTCTCTGGAACAGAGAAAGTCAGAGCTCTGAGCATCATGAACAACAGGATAAAAATAGCAGCGTTGCCATGGCAAGGGAGGCTGGGAGAGTCCTGAGGATGTGTCTAGGTCCTGCCATCTCCCCCGCTGGCATTCCTCCCGCCCCTCAGATGGAATGCAGGGATGAGCTGAGAGAGGGGAGAGGCTGCCCCAGCAGGGAAGGAGCTGACCCTTGAACTCCAGCCCCTGGGTGCTTCTACCAGGCCCAGAATGCCCAAGTTACAAGGCTCCTGCTTCTGAAATGTCTTCTTTGATGTAAGGCTGCTCTGGGCAACTCCTAGTTCACCCTCCCTGTGGATAGTCTGCTTTCCTTGCAAGGTTCTGACCCCACAGGAATCTAGAAAAGGGGCCTATACTGCAACTCTAGCATTGTGGGCCCTCACTATTCCAGAGCTGGCCTGGGGGTCCAGAGAAAGCCAGACTCCCTGGTCCTGGATTGGTTAGCAACGTGTACTCTGAAGCTTTTAGGATTAGGCGGCAGTGACAACCACTGTTCTTCCTGTGTGCGGAAGCTACAGCAGGCTCATTCCCAGAGAAGACTCTGGTTCTTGGTTTTGGGGAGCTGTCAGCCCAGTCACAGCAGTAACCTTCAGGATGAATGGTGGACTTCCTAGAGCAGCAGCTGGGAGACCACTGAATGCAGCCATCCAGATTCCCTCTCCCGGTGAAGCCTGTCTTTGGGGTTGGGAACCAAGGGTCCATCTCCAAATTCCTGCCATGTCAGGCTCCATCCAATACAAGGTGCTCTTCCTGCCGGGTAGGGAGGGCAGGCGTGGGACTCATCCGTGGGAGAGAAGAAGCAGTTTCTGCGGTCAGCAGTCAGTGAAGGAGGGACCCCAGGGGAAAACCGCCTCCTCACATGGACAGTGCCAGTGCCTCCTGCCCACTGCTGCTCAGACCCCTGAGGGATGGGGGAGGATGGCTGCGTCATCTCAGAGATGGGCAACAGGCAGCCGCACAAAGTGAACCCAAGCAGAAGTTAGGCCCTTCTGGATCTCTTCGGTACTAGTGCCGTAAGAGCCCAGATGGCAGCAGTCATGGCCTAGACAGGGCCTGGGGTCAGAGTGCAGGCCACAGACTTACTCCCGTTACTCTAGCTATATGGAGGAGGAAAGGAGTCTCAGCCTCACTGGAGGAACATTCTAGAAGAACCTCTAGGGCTTTCCTTCACACTCTACCGCTTCTCAGATCTGCCGGGTACGCCAACCTTCCGTCTTCACCATGCTGTCCTCAGAACACATCCCCTGGGTCACAGGACACCCGACACCCAGCAAAGCCCTGGACTCAGAGCACATCAGTGCAGTCCCTTTTATCATTGAAGAAACCAGTCCCAGAAATAAGGCCTGACTCATCCAAGGTCACAGGGTCACTGGTGCTCAAGCAAGGCTAGAACCCTGGAGACCTGCTCTTGGCTCAGGGCTCCTTGCATCTCATCTGTCTGTTTCAGTTAAATTGTTGCCTTTTATTTTCTTCTAGAAATTAGCAATTTCTCTATGTATTTCTATGAATCCATATACTGCATTCAAAATGCCTTCCTCCCTTAGGAGCGGAGAAAAGAAATAGCATTCTAATTAACTATTTTGAACCTAAGACAAGAAGCTCTTGGGGGTCCTGGGCCAGGGCCATAGAGGATATTCAAGTCCCAAGAACCCCAGCAGTCATTTATACACTACTCTCCACAGACTAGTTCCTTAGCCTGAGAGGTGGGATCGTGTTCAAGTGGGGCACGCAGAGCCCACGCTCTAGGGAAGACGAGTGCCAGGCTGTAGTAATGGAAGGCTGTATACCTGCCTCACCCTAAGAGCAGAGGGCCACCTCAGTAGAGTCTAAAAAGACCCATGGGCTGGCCTTTCTCTCAGGCAGAATGAAGGAACTTTAAAATTGACTGAAACCAGGCAGAAGCTGAATTGGGAGCAGGTTTCTGGCTGCTTCCCAGATGCTGAGCAGGACCGAGTCCCTATCTCCCTGAGAAAACAGTCAAAATAATAAGTGTACATTTGCTAGATGCTAGTGTTGCCTCCTGCTCAGGTCATGTCTACTGCGGGGTGGCTACACCTCACCTAGGATGAAGGGTTCAAGGGTAGCTATCTGCAAGCGGCGGGGGTGTCCCAAGAACCTTGAACCTCCCAGGTCCCTATGGTAAGGGCTTGAGATATCCAGTGTCTCTCCTACACCAAGGGCACTCTTGTGGGATAAGCAGCTCTGCCAGTCCCTGTGGCTGTGTCCCTGCCAAGGGCTGTGAAGTGAGCACAAGAGAACTGCCCCCCTATTGCCCTTCCCAGACTTAAGTTCTCCATTCTCTGACCTGTCCTCTGGGCGAGCCTATGTGGTTGGGACATAACACCTAACGGCTCTTAGTGTTTGGGATATGATTTCATCCTCCGGTTCCAGAGAGACTTCTCTGATTGCAGTCTGGAAAGCAGGCCGCAGCTAGCCTCCCCCTGGGAGGGAACCTCTGGCTTCAGTCTCAAAATACACCCCGAAAACTTTTCTGCCATCTCCGCCTCACCCAAGGACACCACTGTGTAAGAGGAAACTGTAAAGTTTGCTTTGTTCCTTGTGACCCCACTGGTCTTTGCTGAAGATGCTTGCTGTTTTTTCCCTGAGCGAAGGATGTGTTTAGGATTCTTTGAATATAAAAGAAAATAGCAGACAGTAGGTGGCTCAGGTGGGAAGGAAGAGAACAGCCAATGGAGGACAGAGAAGCTTGGCTGTACTCAAGCTCTACCAACACTACCAGTAATCATGCAGAAAGCCCAAGAAACACGCCTTGCTGGAGTGTCCCTTGCTCAGAGAGGCCCTCATTGAGTTCAGGCCTTCCTTCATCTTGGACCCTGACCTTCCTGCCAGGGTTATCTGTTCTGTTCCCATGGGATGGGACTGTGACTCCTTTCCATAGTGAACTGTTCTCATGAGGAGAGTGGCAAGCCAGCAGACTAGAAGCTGCATAAACTCTCTCTATTGCTAGACGTCCTAGACTTCCTTCTTAATTCCCAGCTCTCTCTCTAGCACCAGGGAGATGACAAGGCCAGGGGAGGAAGGAGAGAGAGGAGAGGAAAGGCCTTTTCTTTTGTTTCTGCACTCCTAGAAATGGGTGTGGGGAACAAGATCCTGAAGCAGGAGGCTGACAATGGGTTGGGAAGAGTCAAGGACAACCCTAGGTTTCCCCGACCAAGTGCCCTCTGAAGGTGTTGCATGCCAATGCTATGCCCTCTCCAGCTTCCCAAGGAGAGGGGGCGATGAGCAGGAGATGGATGAACAAAATGGGCGGGGTTCAGCCTAGATCTGAGGGACAGTCCCTGAGGGGCTTAGTGCCTGGGGAAAGGCCTCCCCACGTCTGTGTGCTGCCTAAGAAGTGAGGAACTGGTGGGCCAGTGCCAGAACTGAGGGAAGACAGACCTGTGACACACAGAAGAGTCATCCACAGCCTGGCCCCTCAAATGTCTAACTTTGGCCTCCAATCTCAGTCCTGGCTCACCTGGCCCAAAAGGATTCAGGGAGGGGACTGAGACACTGGGGCCCCAGAGAGACTCCATCTTGTCCCTGGAGGTGGTGTCAAACCCTCCAAGGTTCTCAAGAACAGCTACTTTCCTCTCCCAAGGCCACATTAGCTTCCTGGGAGGAGTAACCCTGAGAGGAGCCTGGGAACCTCATTCCTTGGTCCCCGGCTGCCCAGTGTGAAGGCAAGTGGCTGGTCCTGGAAATCCCTTGTGTAGCTGAGGCCTCTCTCCAGGAGCACAGAGGATTGGAAGCCAATGGGAGTGGGCACAAGAAGGCTCAGATGCCCTCATGTTAGTCAGATGCTCGTTAAACGAAGCCGGAAGACATTGCACTGAGCTTCACAGCAGTGAGCAGCCTCAGGCCTGGATCCACTGGGAGCTGACAAGGGGGACCTGGTTCTGCTCACACCGCTGTTTCCCGCTCTCTGTGAGCGTCTTCCTTCCTCCTCTTCATCTTGCAGAAGCCGTGAAGACCACAGAAACAGGCGAAAGTGAACTGGGGCATGCCCTGGGCCGGGCGGGGAATGCTCACCACATATCTGTAGGGAAAGGCAGGGTAGACGAGTGGGAAGAGAGAGAAGCAAGCTGGGGTTATCATTCCCAGAACCCTCGGGGACCCCTGAGGCTGCTGCCTGCCCTGCCATCAAGGAAAGGAGCCCTACCACCAAAGCCCAGCTTCTCATTTCCTGCTATGTGTGGAACTGACGTCACCCTAAGAGAAAGCCCAGCTGCTGCCTGAGCCGTCTGCCTCACCTAGTCCCCACACAGCTGCAGCTGGGAAACAGGAAGCGGCAGGCTTAAAGCAGCCTCTGGACATGTCGTTTCAAGCAGGTTCCAGGATCACATGTGTGTAGATGGGGGTGGGGTTTCCACTTGATTCTTGAGGTCACGCATTCAAAACCTCAGACGAGGGAGTTTACAGATTGAGGAAGCCACTAGTTAGACATCTAGAATGAAGTCTCAGATTCTGTCCTTCCCGAACAATCCCAGGTGGTCTGAAATGCTTAGAGAACTCCATAAGGGACACAAGGCAGCACACAATCCCTCTGATGCTACCACGTGGGAAACAGACAGCAATGGGAGGGTCTTTAGGCAACAGACATTGTATTTAGCTCCTGCACCGCAGAAAGGGCTGGGAGGGTGGCACATGGACCGCCTACCTCTTCTTCCCCAGGTAACAGCCAGTCTGCAATCAAACACAGGAGTCTGGCCAGGGTAAGGGCTCAGGCTGGGGGACCATAGCCCTTATCTACTCATTTCTATTGTCCTTGTGTTACTCATCTGCATGATTGTGTTGTGTGTCATCGTAGTCCCCTGGTCATGATACCCCTTTCATGTCTCTGTTCATTCTGTCCCTAAGCAACCCTGCTCTTGGAGGGAAAGAGGTGCCTTCTACTCCACTTAGGCAGGGCGGCTTAGAACAGGAAGGCAGGCATCTTACCCACAGGTGCCTGGTGGGAATGGCTTCTCTTTCTAGGAAGAACACTGAGAGAAAGCCGGTGAGCAAAACCCAATGAGGGAAGGAAGGAGGTGCAGGTTAGGGCAAAGGGTTTGGAATAAGGAAGCACAAGGCACCCTGTCTCCAGCAGAGCTAGCACAGTTGGTGCCATGCTCCACTCAAGGCACACCTGCGAAGTGGCTCTCCTGTTTCTTGAGGAACCTGGAATGACCCATGTGATGACAGTTCCTGGGGAATTCCTTCAGGACAAACTTCCAACGTGCTTGTCCTGCACGGCTGAATGCCTGCTATGGAGCTGGCCCCGTCAGGGTCCACCCTCAGTCCCTGGTAATACATTCAATCACTGTAATTAATAGAGATACTGCATTTCCAGTGACCAGCTGGATGGGCAGGAGTCCCAGCTTGAGTCAGCATGGGTAGGAAGGCAGGCTGCTATTTAATAACCTGCTTTCCAGCACTGCTTACACACCCACTCTAGGGGAGTATATATAGTGAGCAGAGAGCAGTCTCCAGGATATATATAGACAGACCCGAGACACAACTACTATATTTCTAGATCTATATACTGCAACAATCTCTGGATCCCTCTCATGATAGATCAGGGGTGTGTGTGGGGGGGTGTCCATGCTAGCTCCTATTCTTGACTCTGAGGTTGGTATATTGTCATCCTGGGAAGTAGCTATATCTCTCTGGGCCCTCAGTCTCTTTTTGTCTGTATACCAGGAAGTTAATCAAGGCTTGACCTAAGGAAATACGTGGGCACTGGGGGTCCCAGTTAGATCTGGAAGGGAGGGACAGCCGGTGGGGTTCCTTGTCGTCAGTAACTGTAACGCACACACACCATACTGGGGTACATAGGAAGGGTACTATGCAGAAAGCACTCTCACATCAGAAGAGAAAACAGCCACAGACACACACGACGAAGAATACCACAAGGCTGCCTAGGGAGACACCTGTCGCAGTCCCGCAGGACACCAAGACCCTCTCTCCTCTTCACCTTCCTTCCCCTTTGACGCCTGCTCCCGCCCAGAATCCTTACGGGATGATGAAAACACTGGAGAAAGTTGGGGCAGGTGGGTGTAGGAGGAACAGGGGTAGTTTATGGGGCACAGGAAGAGAGCATTGACAGAAGTCTCTTGGAAGCCAGGCGGCTACACAGCGGCTCAGGGGGATTCCTGGGTTCTTTGCTCCCAAAGGCATCGAGAACAAGGCAGACTCAAACTTTTCTGCCCCGATCTTGGCCCTCAAGCCCTCTGGCTCCTCCCTGTCACCCTTGCTAGGAGTCTCACACTCGGGTACAACTTCAAGCCCCAGAAGCCTGTGCACAAAGGCCACTGCACCTAGTCCCCAAAGTGGGAGAGAAAATTCCACATTAGTGTGTCTGAGTGCTGTGGCTTCATTTCTTCTCCCCAGACGCCCCACCAGCAGGGACCTGAGAGCTTCCCTGCTTGTACCCTCCACACTTGACAGTAAGCTTTACTTCCAACACGGGCTGGAGGCCTCCTGGAGAAGTCAGATCCCATGACCACCCCCCCACCCCCACCCCCGTCATATAGATCCTGGAACACCCCCTTCACCTGTGCTCCAGCGGGAACCGCCCCCACTCTGTTCTCACCCAAGCTACTGTTCAAGAGTAAAGAATGGACAAACGGATATCGAAAACCCCAAGACGAAGAGGGCTGACACTGGCGGAAGTTCCTGTTGCCCCACTCCCACACCTGCCTCTTTCAGCTCAGTTCAGGATGATCTGGGGTCTGATGGCCAAGATGTCCCTCTGCCAAGCTTGCCTTGTGGGAGCCGACCAGAAGAGATGCCAAGTCACAAATCATCCATCCTCCCAAGTCACCCAAATACCGGTCCCTAGCCTCACTACTCACCCCTGCCTGCCCTCAGCCCTCACCCATTCTCTTTTAGCCACACTCTGCTCTGACCCTCCCACCTCAAGGGAAAGTGGGGGAACCCAAATAATCTGAGCACGTGGAGGAACCAAGGGGCAAGACAACACCTCTACATGAGGAGGAAGCGAGGTTTCAGGATGGCAAGCCTAAATTCCTCAGTGTCTCTAGAATTTTGGCAAAGTCCTCCATCAAAGTGGGCGGTAAGGGGATATATGATAGTTGAGTGTTGGGACAAGCCAGGAATCTCTGACAATTGTTTCTCCGACCCCAATCCCCTCATCTCCCGAGGCAGAGCAAAGGCACTTCAAGCGAGACCCACCCCAGGTAACGGGCAGAAGTGACTGAGTGAGGAGGGGTGCCCTAGGCCCCGGGGAAACAATGCAGAATCCTCCCCCCTCCCCTGTGCCCTCCGCACCCGAGCCTCAGTAATTAAAATATGAATTCACCTTCCCTCCCCGAGCCATTCATCCCTGCAAAGGGAAGCAGCTGCCGCTTAGGAGACCGGATTTGGGGATTAGCTCGGGCGGTGCAGCAGACACACCAGGAGAAAGAATTCTAAAGGAAGGGGGTGAATTGGGTTTTCTCCCACCTCCTCCCTCTCCTCTCCCTAGCCATCCTCACACCCACCCCTTCCCCCAAAGCCTGGCCTCCAGGTTTCTGGGAACTGTAGTCTGCAAGGCAGTGTTGACAAACAGGCAGACCCAGGGTGGGTGGTGCCACCAACTACAGATCCCAGGACCTCTTCCCAGGGCTGCCATCCACCAAGCTGGCACTGGGTACTCATCTGGAGAAGTCTGTGTTCTCCTTGGAAGTTAACCCCTTCTTGAACTGTTAGAGGAGCTCCATGGACCTGGGAGTCAAGGCCTCTCTGCCTTCCACACCTACAGAGGCTGCAGTACCTGGCCTGCAGGGACAGCCCTCCTCCTAAGTCTCCTGCTTGTCTACCTATAGAAAAAGAATAAACGCCCCCCTCCTCAAGACTACAAAGACAGCCAAGGATTTAACAGTGGCTCTGAGTAGCAAGGGCCAGGAAAACAATACTCTTCAGTAATAATGTCTTTACACCCTGTGTTAGGGGCTCAGCAGCTTACCACTGACTTCCGGCAGGGGAGGCGGAGCCAGGCACCCGATGCAGACCGCTCCCACCAGAAGGTGTTGTCCCTGAGAAAGAAGGAACCAGCAGTCTTCCCAGTCTTCTTTGCATTTAGAAGTGAAGCTTAGCAATCAAACTCCATTTCCACTAGAAACAGACCAATACCACCAGAGAAATGTGCCTGACACTCAGTGTAGTTAAACACGGACCTGTCTCCCTAGGGAAACCTCATGCTGGGCCCAGCCGATGACTGTAGGAGACTTAGATTGCTCAGTTATGATGATATTTTTGGTTTCGGCTCTCTGCAGGCAGGGACAGGACAGACGCAGGGCTGCTTCGTGAATCCTCAGGGAAAGAGGGCACGAGGCCAGCTTGCCTATTCACAGGCTCTGGACAATTACGAGATACGCCATTGCGGATCTTCTCCAAGCCAGCCCCACCCACGGTGGCAAGGCACAAAGGCGGCGTGCAAAGGAGGCCCAAGGCTGTGATCCCAGGGTAGCGCCCACCCCCACCCCCAGGCTACCTCTCACCTTCTCCCCTAGCTCACCATTTCTTCCATCATTATTTCTTGTACAGTCCTACTATGAGCCTTGCTAGAGCTTCGCAAGAGGTAGAATCTTTGAAGCTATTCACTTGTCCCCTGTCTGGGTGCTGGGGTCTTAAACTGTAAAGGGGTATTCGTGAGACAGGCCCAGAGACAGAGGGCAGGGGAGCTGACTGATGCTCAAATCTTTCCAGTGAGGAAACTGGTAACAGGGATAAGCAAAACAAGAGGTTCCTGGAGCTGAGCAAAAACCCCAGGCAACTCAGGAGTCGGGGCAGCGACTGTGGAGACTGGGTCAGGGGCTAGCTACCCCTGTGTCCTTGCACTATCTAAGCCTAGCCAAGGCGGCAAGGAGCCTGATTCAGCCACAGCAAAACTCCAGCTGGTTTGGGCTTTCACTTTGCTTCTCTCTGGCCACGATGAATAAAGAAAGTCAGTGATAGCTAACGAGTGATGACCATGAATCCCCTAGAGACCTCCATGAAACAAGTGCTAGTGTCCATGGTATCACCTAGAGTGGGGTTATTATTCCCAACACACTA